CCACCTACAGAGCTGTGAGCTACCACACGGGTGTTGTTAAGCCACTAAGTCTGTGATAATTTATTACACAACGGGAGAAAATCAATACAACCTCTGTAAGATAAAAGTCTTTAGAAATGTGGTATAGCATTTCATTTATTCAGGTCTTTAGAAATAAAGTTTTACACTTTTTCCCATAGAGTGGTCTTATCTTTCTCAGAATTTTTTTTTTCCTCCAAGGTAAATTTTGAGTTAAAATTAAAATTGAACTAAATTAATTAATTAATTAGTTGATTATGTTTTTTTTCAATGTTACATTTTACCACTAATTATTACTAGCCTGTCTTATGTTAAACATGCTAACTTTATATTCTGTTTTATAATTCCTTTAGGAAAGATAAAGATGTATTGGGCTTCACTGGTTTTCTTTTTTTTTCCTTTTTGTCTTTTTTACTGACCGGTAACGGGATCGCTACCCTCGGTGTCGCGCCCGCACCGCGCTCAGCCAGTGAGCGGGAACCGGTCTCCACATGGGATCCGAACCCTCGGTGGGAGCGCGGCAGCACTTCCAAGCAGCGCACTCTCCAGTGCACCACCCGGCCGGCCCTTCATTGGTTTTCTTTTCACTTATAGTGCCTTGTCTTCTCATATTGGAACTTCTACTCAGAGATATTTCCTCTTTGTGCCCTGAGCTGAGGTTGCATTTTTCTTTTTTCTATTTTTTTTTTGTCCTTTTTGAGACTGGCCGCACCGCGCTCCCGAGTGCCATGGGCTTGGCCCAAGGTTACATTTTTCTAAAGAAGATTTATAATCTCTTCTGCCAGGCACCCCAGAGCCTGAACCACCCAAGATTACTTTATTTATATTTGTAGTTGTTGTTTCCCAGACTGGCTAGGTAGGTAAAAAAGAACCCCAAATTCAAGACAGGCAACCTGAAAGCTATAAATTCTTGAAGGAAATTATTTTTTAATCATCCAGAGCTCAAGATAAAACAAACAACTTTCTTTAATTCTTCCTTTGCCAATAGGATATTTTCCTTGTCTACTCTTTTGCTGAGTATACAGCCCGTCTAGATCCAAATTAATGCAGGAATCTCCATCTCAGGCAAACCCCAAGACCTTCTGATCTGTACCCATAGGGCCACTAAAACCCAAACGTCTTGGTCACTGAGACTGTCAAAATCTTATAGCACTGATATAACCTATTACTCTGTGTTTGGTGCACTCTTCATTATGGGTCCTTGGAAATTTCTGTTACTTTTGTGTGAGCTTAAACATCTAAAGGAAAATTTGTTCTATTTTATTTATAAACAACTTTATTTTCTTTTAAGAATCATATTTTACATATAATACATATGTATATATCCATGTACATATACATATATGGGCTATACATATATACATATAATATAAACATATAAGTTAATATTTGTATATAATAAGTATATATAAGCGTATATGAGTCAGGCAGAAAAAAGGTTGGGAGAGAGATTTCTAAAGTTCTGTCTAGACATTGTCAGAAGGACTATGGGAAAATTAGTTGTTTTCATATGCTGTGTCTACTGTGTTAATATACATATATAAGTATATTTATAAATATATGTATGTAATCATATATCCATATGAGGGTACTTCAAAAAGTCTGTGAAAACGTAGAATTAAAAAATAATACAAACTTTTCCATGAACTTTTTGAAGACCCCTCATAACGTTAATATACCCCAAAGTGAATAAACATTTTTTTAAATGTGTGGACTGACATGTGAACACCGTCATGGTAGATACAGATTGTCTAAATTTGACATACTAACATCTATTTCTACATATGGCTTTACGACATAATTGAGTAGAAAGTAGTGAAATTTTTTAGCTGGAAAATTACCTGTATGGTCCCTGTGTTCCTTTTTTGTTGGGATTCTACGTCCCAGCGAGAACTTCAAATGATATGAGTATGTATCAGTAAAGATGACTCTCACTATTTCTCCAGGATAATTTGCTGTTAATTCTTTAATACTTTCTTCATCTGACAGTCCAAAGATGTGTCTATCTGCCATCACAAGAAGAGGATATAATTGTTAGTAAATTACGACTTTAAAATGTCATGTTCAATTGCTTTTCCTAGAGTTCTTTGTGGAAGTAAAACAAAATCAAGTATTGATTTTTTTTTTTCCTTTTTGTCTTTTTCTGTGTCCGGCAACGGATCGCAACCCTCAGTG